AGCTTTCAAATACATTGAGTGCATTCCTCAGCCTCGCAATCGAGTCAGCACCCAACAATAAGAATGAGATGGCTCGGGGATGAACAGACGTGGACATGGAGCAGGAAGTGTAAAGCGGAGAAAAACACCGAGTAAGCGCTCATGTCCTTTGCGGCAGGTGGCGATAAAAGACCAACCGCCCGATGCAACCGCCTGGAGCAACAACCTGCTCAATAGTTTTCACAATCGACAGACTGAATCAGACCTTCAGAGAAAATTCAAGATTTTCTCCGCTGAAATATAAAAGTTTCACAAAATCTTGCGAAACAACATCGAAGTGAAGAGATGCATGGATTATATAGTACGATATAAGCAATTACTATAGTATTACATTACTTTGTTTGTACTCCAAACGCCCATTAATAATAATAATAATAATAATAATAATAATAATAATAATAATAATAAAATAATAATAATAAAATAATATGTACAACGGAGTCCTTATATATTCTTTCTTTTCAAAACATATATTTCTCTGCAAAGAAAGCAAATGACCAGACAAGTCAGAAAACTCTATGGGCGATTCGCAGCCCAGACCAAGACAAGATAAAGAAAATGTTTATTTCAAGAAAAAAAACCGAAGAGGAAGAACATAACAACCAAAATGGAGATCGCTAGAAATTGTCCCAGATCATTCGAAATATGACCACGGACTGTTAAACAACAAAGGGCCGAATGTAAGAACGAGAACGAGACCAAAAATTAAAAAAAAACAAAAAGAGATCACGAAAAGATGGGGAAGAATACGAAAAAGTATATTGATAAGCGCTTACAAATAGAAGTAGTGTATAATATAAGCATGATTACGAATAAGAACCTGAGATCGAAGAAATTAATTGGGCGACAAAACAACTGAAAAATGGGTAGTCCCCGGCTGTAGATAATATTCCAATCGATCTATTCAAAGATACAGGGGAAGAAATCTTGGCGAAACTAACACACTATGCAATGTGATCTGGAAAATAAAACAGTGAACAACAAATTTGCAACGCACTTTATTATTCCATTACCAAAGAAAGGAGACAGCCGAGATTGTGCAAATAACAACACAATTGCATGAATACCGTGTGATTCAGTCAATCGGCAAAAGTCATTCCTCGGAAAAAGAAAGAAAAAAGGATTTTAAAAATATTGTTACTGTAAGCATATATTTTAAGATTTTCAAAAACAATTCACATTGAAAGAAACCTCATTTTCTATCTACTCTGGAATATTGTGTAGATTGCATTACGTCGCGTACGCGTTAGAGTAAAGCATATCCTAAGATTACACAGAAAAAGATTTCCTTCGTTTTCAAACTCGTTTGAATGTTTTATATTATTTATATCATTGTGTCCGATATATCACGATAACGTTTTCTAGAAAATCCACTTTTTATAAAACAAGAGATTTTGAAATTGGCATGACTCTTCAGGATTCATGCTTCTTGAAAGTTTCTTTGTTTTGAATCACTTTGAACTTCGTTGCTTGGTCGACACGCGGTAAATATCACAATCTGAGCGAATTGGTGAAAGGTTTATTTCCAAAGCGGAATTTGAGAGATAACGAAATAATCCCCCCAATATCACGAGAATAGTGAGGTAATAAAAAGTTTTCAAATATGTTTTCAATGTTTATTTCTCTCTAATTTTTATTTCTTGAATTACCTGAACCAATGATTAACAATGACAAACCTTGGATTATTCGATTGCTTGACAAGATCAACAGTTTGGATCTCTCCAACATTGAATAAAGCTTTATATTTAACTTGACAAAAATCGTAATTGTTGACTACTACCGCTCCTTATTATGCATTATCCTTTTCATCACAATATATTCCGTTTTGTTTTTTGTGTGTTATTCTCCTATTTTATTTTTGCTTAGCTAATTAAACTGCATGATCAATTTTTAAGGTTTTAATAGTTTTGACTGTAATTTTAAAACTATTTTTGCAATTGCAATGTGCCGTATTATTTCCAGCGGTGACATTATATAATTCATAGAAACTATTTGCTGGTTTTCGGTATAATTTTATATCATGTGATATTGATTTAGATGAAAAATATTGTGTAGTACATATCAAGTTAAATACTGCATAATACGACACAATGCAAATGTACAATGCAAATACTGCATCAGATAATTCTGAGAGCTGTATTGAGTTATTGAGACCAACAATAATAAAATTATACCACTGTTGGAGATAAAATCTTCAAAAGAGATTTCTAAGTGGCATAGTCTTTTTTAGTCGTTTGTCTTGATGTTGCACTCAAAATGAAAAAAGATTGAAATGTTTTGAAAATAAGATATGAGAACCATTCAAAATGCATTATTATGATTATTCCGGAAATGCAAACAATTAGATAAAATATAGTGCTGAAGAGAAAAGGAGTTTCTATTAAAATACTAAAACTAGCAATGGCTGAATATATCATTCCTCTTACAATTTCAATAAAATGTAATTATTAATTTGAAATGCAATTATTAAATTTGCTCATGCGAATTTACATACTATAGGCCTTCAAGCACAAAACTATTTTGGGCATTCCTTCAGAAAAATGTTTATAACTAATTATGAATAAATCTAAATAACACTAATTATGATAAAATAAATAATTGTTCCAATTCAGATGTAAATTAACAAATTGCATTTAAAGTAGAAATTGCTTTTTAAATTTATCATTAACAAATATATGTTTGGTTTCTTATTGTTATATTCAATTTATTATTAAAATTAAACATTGTTGTTCAGTAAAGTATTTGTTTAATGATTATTCAAATAAAAACATTTTATGAAGTTTTTAATATTTATTTTTAAAAACCGGGCCCGAGGATAGGAGTCCCGAACCCAATTTTGCTAGCAGGAAATCCAGCTCTGCATTCACCTATACCTCGAATTGTTGATATTAGAACCAGCAAAAGAGTATTTTATCATTGTAATACACTTGAAGCTACTACAAAATCTATTTCTTTTTTAATTGAATGCCCACTCAGTAGCAATACCTATTAAGGTGCTGATCTATGCTAAAGATTTTTACTTTGAGTTCTGTGTAAGCATCTGTGGTGCAAAAGACAATGACAATCCACTGTATATCTCCATAATAAAAAAGAGAATATGAATAATTTTTAAATAATTGAATAAATAATCATTGTTCAGAAGCAAGAAACTGACGTACGGCACAATACAAAATAATAATACTGTACTGAATATTTAAAAAATTCTGTGAACTCTCAAAATCACCTATTTTCTTAGGGAGTAGTATCAAAGTGAGTCATTGGGAATATTAATGGAATTAAGATTATCATTCAGATTGCACTAATCATTATATCCATCAAATTCCAGTTTTCTGAACTTCTGGTCACTATCAAACGCAATGTTCTCCAGGAGTGAGGTTATTTTAATTGCTCCCAGAAGATCCAGAGGAATGTACGAACTGGTCTCGTCACTCAATTTGAATGAAGCGCGTTGCGCGCGCGGTGTTGCCGAGATGCGCGTCACTGTCCCGACCCTCTAGAAAGCGCGCAAACGTCTCCCTTTGGACTGATTTAGGCTTATAATTTTGCAAAATTCTCCCATTTGAAACGGTAGATTTCCTTCAAATTGCGCATGTTAATTCTTCGAGATAATAGCTACCAAAATGAAAAGTTTTTAAACGTTCAACAGTTAATTTTCTCACAATTTTAAAATTTCAGGTCAGATCTGTCATGTCATCATAAGAGCCCACGTTAAAACAGCAAACTTTGCGGTCTCGTTAGGCAAAAACTAGACGGTAAAATCAATTCAAACTCAACCAGAACATAAAAAAATATCTCATCTTTCGATTAATACAATAAGAAAGGCATGTTAAATGTAACACTTATCTCGCTCTAACCACCTTAATATGAACCAAGGCAAGTTATCCTAATTATCTTGTTTATGTTGTGTTTTCTCATTTATGGCCATTAAAAATGTTAAAGAAAACTTTTTTTTAATATTAACTTGATAGTATAGTGATATACTTGATTTCATAGTAATTACCACAATTATATTTCATTTAGACTTCCAATATCCTCATTACCTTAATTAAAACCTCATTCAATGACCAGTTTTTCGGAACCACTGGTGACCGCTTAAGACTGGTTTAACTAATTATAGTTATTAAATTAATATCTTCTATTCGATCAAAGTCATGAAGAGTGCTCCGTGCGGTGTGAATTGAAACTAATGAGATATGTGATATTCTTTGACCGTGACCAGAGAGTATAGACCGTGACAGCGTGACGTGAAGGCGGACAGGCGTGAAGGCAGAGAATTGAATAACGATCCGCGTCACGTGCAAGGAAAGAAACAAAGTGACAAATTCCAGAAAACTGTTACAAATAATTTATAGTTTGAAATGGGAATCGCTCGGTAAACGAAGAAGTGATTTAAAATCTAAGGTTTGTGCAATGTAATATCACTTTGAATGCTGCACAGCCATAAAATGTTTTATAATTGCTACTCCAATGTATGATATTTAACAGTTTCTTGAGTTTTCTTCTGAAGTTTCCTATCTGAATTATCTATAATTTAACTTGTATTCCCATAAATGTTTGATTTAAGATTAATCACTTAAGTTCAGATTTTTAGTAAATTCTGATATTGCAAAAATATTGTATGAAATGCAAGTAATTTAATGTATAGATCTTGCTGCCTTCATTAGGAAAGTTTTAAAAAGTATAAATTTTTTAGTTTGAGATGGAATTTTCTTATTTTTTTCTGAAGGTGATTAAGATTATTGAGGATAAATATTTCAATGAAACAAATTAATTATAACATGTTGGTTCTTATGATTCTTTTTCGAGTTCTTGATATTTAGTGTGTATATTTTCAGTTTATTTTTGTTTCTGGTAATAGTGTATTGATTGTTCCGGAATCAGAAGATTTACATTGAGCACTTATTACAAACGTTTCAGTAATTTAAGTAGGTAAATTAAAAATATTTCATTTTTTCATACAGGTTTGCAAGAGTGAAACATAATGGAAAGAAGAAATTCAGAATCTGATAGTGGAGAGATAGAGGAGAGGTTGTTTGCACCAGAGCCTCCAAAACAGGACTCTGTGAAAGTGCTTGCAGTGTTTCTTCTATACAGTATGGCAATGTTTAGTGTTCCTTTTGCTGCTTTCTTCGGAACCAAGTATACTCTTAAACATTCATTTCATATAGAAGGATTTGCAAATACTGCGTGGTCAGTAGTTGTTGCAGTTGTAGTTATTAATGTAATTATCCTAATGTATGCATGCAGAGGATATGAAGAAATAAAAGAAGAAGAAAGACAACAAGAAATAAGTACAACAATGACTGATAAAAGAGATAAAAGTGATCTGAATTCAAAGAAGAAAGATTGAAGATACATTGCTAATTGCTGTAGGTGTAATTATTTTACGAAATGTACATTTTCACTTTTAAATCAACATTTGTTAAGATCTAAATAAATCCGGTAGTTTGGTGACGGTAGCTGAAAAAGATAACAATGCTTTGTATGTTTTTTTGAACACTCTGAAGGACTGTCATAAAGTTGTTTGTTGTTTTCTGTTGAGATAATTTTAGAACCTGGTCTAATTAATTTGTAATATATTAGAATGATATCAATTGTATATATTTTTTCAAATTTCTAGGATTTGTAAAATTAAAATAAACAATGCTGTAATGTGCATATTTAGCAGATTTGAGTATTCACTTGACAAATATAAAACAAATTATATAGTGATCAGTATTAACATAGATTTTTTATTTTATACCTCTTAAGTTTTGTCCAAAGAAGATCAAAAACTCAAAGAAAGACAAAATGGTATCATGTGGAGTGTCATATGTTTAGTTACAGAGAAATCGGTAGAACTTCAAACATTGTTAATACTTCAGAAACAGCAATGGTTCTAATACTGATATGTGTCACTTCTGTGGAGGATTTCACTTTCAATAATAAATTTTAATGCACGCATAGGCGAGAGTGGGAACCTGAATTCAGTTGGTTTGATGGAAAGAGGGCTTTGGCAAGAGCTGAAAATAATAGGACCAAGTAACCTTGGAATGGAACTTTTAAAATATGGGTGTTATAGTATAATTCAATACCTCTAAAACCATTTTAACAAAATTGAAGTTAGTGGTGATATCCTTCAGGAATGGAATATGTCATATATCAATTCTATACACATGAAATGTAACAAAACCCTTTGTGCCAATTCAGATTACCGAGATCGTTAAGGCAGTAGCACCATAGTACTCTCGGATCGCTGGTTCAAGTCCCGCTTCGGGCATGGTTGCATTTGTGTTCGTCCTTTCGCATCCTATCATCGGATAGTGTCATCTTCACAGTTACCATACTGTTAAAACTGCAGAGGAATTGATGTCATTCCATCAATAACTAGAGTATTTGCTAGTATTCTAAAGGGAAAATACAAAAGGGCGTAACTTTCAATGAAGAACAAAACAGTTTCAGTAGTGGGAAGCCGTGTTAAGACAACATCCACTTCTTATGCCAGATAATTGAGAAAAAAGGAATATACAATATTGACACACACATGACATTTATTGACCTGGAAAAGGCCTATGACAGTGTTCCTAGATGTAAAATTTGGTCAGCAATGAGAAGACTGAATGTCCCAGAAAAATGAATTAATTTGGTTAAAAAAAATGTGCCAAAATACTGAAGCAGGTATCAAAATGGGGAGGAAAAATACTGAGAGTATTAAAACTAACAAAGAGTTGAAACAAGGATGTAGTTAATCACCACTTCTCTTTAATATATACATGGAACAAGTTTTAGAAACTTGGTACAAGAAATGTTTTCAAATGGGAGTTCTCATAAATGATTGGTGTGTACATTCTGTACTTTTTGCAGAAGATCAGGTCATTATGGCATCAGAGTAGGAAGATATGGAGTTTATGCTTAGGAAATTAAAGAAGAATACCAAAAATGTGGAAATGATGCAACTGAGGAGATGCTTCTAATTAAAGTTGATCATGACAAAATAGCTAACTGTTCAAAATTTAAATATATTTTTTTTATTGGTTATGACTTTATTAATTATATGACTATAATTACTGACGATGGAAAAATAGATGAAGGGATACCCACTAGACTCGCAGTGGGCAGAGATGCAATCAAAGCTCTACATGGTCTTTTATAGAATAGTGTATTAAGAGAAGAATATTCCATAGTGTAGTGGAAAATATTATATTATATGGAGCAGAAATGTGACCTTTAACAAAATGCCTTAGAGACAATACGGTCAGTAGAACTCGACATTATGAGAAGGACTTCACAGATAACAAGGCTGGACAAGATAACGAAGTGATATGGGAAAGAGCTGGGTTTCAAACAACCATGACCAGAAGACTAGAAAATAAAGCTCTTCAATGGTATTGGACATGTTCAGAGGATGCAAAATGAGAGATGGCCAATACAAATTTTAAATTGGATTCTTGAAAGAAAATTAGGCAGACCTGTTTTGATCTGGAAGGTTTATATACAGGAAATGAGGGAAGAGAAAGGACTTAATGGAGTTCTGAGAGGATAAAAAAATATGGAAATCTAAAATGGCAAACTCTTAGGAGTAGAAACTATCGAAGAAGAAGAAAATGAATTTTCAGAATGCCATAAAAGTAGTGTCTACTTCTTCCTAAGATAAGAGTTTTCATAGAGTTCCTAAATATGGAATTTATTATAAAATAGTTATCTTTGCATTGTGTATATATTTTTTATCAGCCAATGGTCTCACAAAGTTTATTTTCAGGGATTCTGAAAATGTGAATGCAGACAGAGATGATTTTATTAGGTAAGCTAAAAAATGAAGATGGGCTGTTTTTTTTGCATGTTTTTCATATAATCCTGATGAATATCTATTATAGATGGAGTATATTTTTGTAGATCACTGAATACCAGGAACCTAAGTGTGAACACAATGTGCAGGGGGGAAAAAGAAGGTTTTTAGTATTACCATTACTTATATAATGCTTAGTGTTGAGGAAGGGATAATTGAAGATCCTAAAAATAACAGGATAATCAAGAATCAGACCTTGTACCATGTACTTTGGTCCAGCACGAAAAAGAAGTTAATTTTTGTTCTAAACAAATAATACAAGATACGTGGGATTCTTTAGCCTTTAAATATTTTTTGTACCATTTTTTAGAGTAATTTATTCTTTGGAGTTTTTTTATTATTGGCAGCACTTGGGGCTTTGTAAACATCTGTAGACGTGAAGATTATTGCTCTCCAAACTTTTGCCTTTGGAGCGATTTGGAAAAGAATTAAAAATAAGATAAATGCCAAAATATTATATTGAATGACTTGTAACAAATCTGTGATGAGAAATTTGAAGAAAAGAAAAGAAAAAAAAGGCCAGTTTGAGAAAAGGTGCCAATTACAGTGCTGAGACCTTTCAAGTTTATTTGTTTGAACATAAGAAGTGGAGTAAGAATGCAAACAAATAGAATCCAAGTCAATAATATAATATACCTAGAATCATAATAATAAATAAGCTTAAAACAATTGAGGTCAAAAATTCCCATCCCATAGTATCTTCACAAGAAGACTCAGTGCAGAAGACAAAAAGGTGGCTCAGTGCATCACTGCAGTGCTTCTGACCGGGAGGTGCAATATGTGCAATTTTAAAAATAAAAAAATAACTGTTGGTAGGGATAGTGCTAAATTTATTCTACGAGATGACATAAACGTTAGTTTGATCTGTTTTTTTCCAAAATTACATTTTTGATTCATGCGTCGTTAATATTTATTTTAGCGGCGGTTTGTTCACATTGTTTACGTATACATGTGCTTTAAATTGCGTCATATAAAGTTTCTCGAAAACTAGTTCAAAATTCCGAATTGTCAGAAACATTCATGCCAACGGCTCAATTTTTTTCTCGAAACTTTTGGTACGGATGGTGCTAATTGCACTGTTTAATAATATGATGTAAAGTTTATTTTTTTAAAGATCTCTCATGCCGTTAATATGCACATTTCCTTCTATTTGTTAACACTATTGTATTTGTGAGTGAAAGTTCTTCAAATGACTTTTAATGACGTTTTTTGAAAACTCAAAAATGTTTCTGTGAAAAAGAGCTTCAAATTTCGAAATTACAGTAGCACTGAAACGCTTTTTCTTAAAAACGATTCCAAATATTTCATAAAATTCCCATTTAGGACGAAGTTTTACCGTTCTTTAATATTCTTAAAAATAATATTTCCGTTCTACTAATAGGAAAACGAAAAATTAAGTAATATTTTAAAAAAAAACATGTACTTTTGGCGGTGATAAATGACTTGTCAAGAGGATGTGGCAAGCCGAGATCAAAGGAAATAGAAAACTAATACGGGAACGACGGTGTCATTTGCTGCTCCACTAGTTATTTCACTGGTTATTTCTTGGCGTGTGAGGGCTGCCTTTAAGATGGAATATATCACGGCTTTCTTCACGGCACAGCCGTGCCGCTAGATATCGCTAGCTCGAAACGTTCGCGATCGTGCGACATCTAGCTGCGAAGTATTCCGTCGTGAAGACAGTCCCTCCAAGAAATTAAAAGCTGTCAGAATCGTTCACTAACCGGATTTGTTTACAACGGAAATCGCCAATCTTTTTCAATTTATGATTATGTTAGGTGCAATTCATAATATTTTGTTTATTAACGACGCAGATTCGAGTTTTCGGCTTTTCTGGTGAGTTTTTTCCACTGCCACTTCCAAAGCTTTTGGGAAACACGATTATTATATCACAGATGTTTGTCCACAGGGTACTAGGATTATTACTCTGGTATTACTCGCGCAACTTTTCTTGAACGATGACCTTGATCCCCCTCCCTTGTGCAATAAACAGTTGAAGGCGAAAGCTCGCAGCGGGCACTGATGACAACCATCCAAGAATTAAAACTTCGTTGGCGCGAACAGAAGCTAGTCAAAGCCAGTTGCTTTCATAGTGCAGAACTCCTGTTCAGGTTTATTGTCAATATCAAAAGAAATGGTTGAATCAGGTCCAGGTCCTTCAAGGAAGTCACCTAAAACTCCCGAAAAAGTTAAGCACAAGATGCAGTTTTGACTTTCATTTCTTAGACATTGGCATTACTTAAAATACTCTAGTGGCCGACTTTGTAACTAATACCCCCCACTCCACCCGAAATCGTCAATCTATCGTTCAAGAAAAGTTGCCCGAGTAATACTATTCAGAGAGTATTTTAGTACTATTGCCCCATTTAAACATAGTGTATGCACTCCGTCAGTCGCTGTAAGGAGACACTAGTATTGTCAAATCAGGGGATTTAATCAAAAATATTGATGTAACGAAGCGTTCGATTGGCTAACTGTCCCCCTCTCCATTCCTCCTGTGACCTGTAAGGACACACTATATTTAAATTGCAATATACATCACAACATTGAATACCCACGTGGTCTCATTGTAAAGAGCAGAGACACTACAGGATTTATTAGGTATTTACAATACTAATATTGCTAATACATTGATGTGGCAGAATTCGTCATAGAAATATCGACAGACTGTGTTCAGACAATTTCACTGGTGCCTGAGTTATTATACAAATTTATCGAAAACTGCTTGTTTTGGTTGCGGTCTGCGTGTTGAGTTTTTAGTTTGCAACTCGAAAGGAAGTATGAATATCCACAAGAAAAATGCTAACTTCCAGAAGAAAAGTCCGAAGATCTGGAAGAATAGAACACAATTAACAAAAGGAGAGAATAATGGCGAGAAAGAGCCGAACCAGCAGAGGCAAAGAGTTCCAGCAATTTACGGGGCAACAGCCAAACTCTTGAAGAAAGTAAATGAAGGTGCAGGGCTTAAAGACGCACTTTACCAAATTAACCACCCTGTAAGTACATTTGTGTGCGATATATTGAATTATAACTCTTCCATATTATTGCCAGTGTTAGCTTGAGAGATAGAAAAGTTCTTGTTGTAAAGTTTAGTATAATTTTATTTGTTTAAATAACAATTATTTGATAGAAAGTTTTCATTTACAATATGTCTAATTCAGTTTATTGTCGAACCATGAAGATCTGGTTTTTGTAGCTGTTTTGTATTTTTTTCTACAGACTGTGTTGTTTTTTAAAACTAAATTGAGTGTTAATTGCAGAACCTTCGTGGAATATATGCTTTAGCATGCAAGGCAATACAAAATGACGAGTTATTGGGAACCATTATTAATGAGACTGGTTTGCTGAATGAGAGGTTTGATCCTGTTTTGGCCAAAGTTCTTGTTACTGAGTTGTTGTGGGGTAAGCAGGAATTAAAAGGAGGAAGCACACCTGTGACACTGACTTTGGAACATGAGAAAGCTCTGAGACAGGCAGTAGAGGAAGCTTCTATTCCTGTTGTTCTTACTGAAGGTATTTTAATTTTCTATTTTTAACCCATTAACTATCACAAAGAATATTACATTTTTTTGTTGCATAACCACCAACCACAGTAATTGTCTAATCTTGCTGCTTCATTAAGTTTTTCTTACACATTTAATGCATTTCATTCAATCCATTTAGTTTTAATGATTTAGTAATTTGTAAAAATTGGAGAGAATTTACTTGGAAGTAACCATTACACGTGTTAACAACAAATTATGCACTCGCTTATGTTTCTAGAGAAACATTGCATTTAAAACAGGTGGCCACATAAAATGGAGCTTATCAGAATGTGGGAAGTTAATATCGTACCTAATTGTGCTCTTTGCAGTGAAGTTGCGTACATTACAGATTAACAAATTGTCTGTAATTGGGAGGTTCAGAACACCACCCAGTATATTTTTGGCAGTTTCGAAGTTAAAGAGTAAGAGTGTAAAGTTATAACTTCATTTTATTTTATGTACAAAATTTATTAAAATTGTTCAGATGGTTACAGTATTTAAGAGGTGAAAAGAAAATGTTCTAAATAGAATTTCCTAAGCTCTGAAATTTGAACTCAATTTTGTCAATACAACTTTTGATGCACTTGTATCTTTTTTGCTCTAAGCCCTTGTATTACAGTTGAGCTTTGAAATCCTGGAGACTTTTTTGCAATTGTAGGTGTGGATGGAAAATGATTCAATTCTTGGTGTTTGCCCTGTTCTTTGGCAGTACTGGTTGATTCTTTGAATTTGTGAACGAGACTAGGGCCTGCAATGCTGCCATGAAAATAGTTCATGGTTATCTGAAACCCAATTTAATCACACTACAAGAAAGTCAAATATGATGTTTTATGTACTTTGACATTGTGTTCAAAAGCTGGAAGGGACTGAATAAACATAAAAATATCCACTAGTCTTCACTTTTTGTCATCACTATCCACTGCTCACAACTACTCTCCCCCCCAAAAAATTCCTGAAAACATAAGAAGGCTGAAATGTAGTATACGGAACAACCTAAGGAAGTTGTTAAACCCGCACTTCGCGCCGTTCCGGTGTTAACTAGGCAGTTAGAATTCTGGAGGCTTTCTTGAAAAGTGATGTCTCATAAAAGTGAATTGGTAATTATGCGTTGGATACACTCTCGGATGTTTATAGTGAACACGAGGGCCGAAGGCTCAAGCCTCGCCGTGACTTGGATCCGGGCGAGCGAAGCGAGAAAATTTGGCTTTGAGAGTAAATTGGCATTACAAAGTGGCGGGAACAAAGCATATGAAGGGCGAACCATGAAAATTGCCTATCCGTAAGTTTTATTCATTTCTATTAGAGCATGTGCAGCAATTAGGTCTGAAGCCCGACCGCCACACTTCTCTAAGGGTGTACTGTATACGAAACTTTAACCCATAAGAAATCTACACATTTGCAAAACTAGTCTTCAGCAATTTCTGTTTAAAAATTATATCGAGTCCAAGAGATTTTTGTAGTAATTAATAGCAGTAATAATGGTCTGTTCATAGGCAATTTTAAAGGACTCGGTGTAGGAATAGACTTCAACCACAGTAGGAAATGTAAAATTTCAATTGTAGTTGAAAATACTATTTTATTCATTAACATTATTATACCTTTGCGACTGTCTTAACATCAAAATTTGGTTTTCGGTTACTTTTGTGAGAACCATGTTTCATACTGATAGTCATACAAATTTGTAATTTAATCCAGGAGACTTCTCACATTGATTAAATTAATTTACTGAGAAAAATTTTCATTACATTCACAAAACATGCAAATTCTGTAAGAAGCATTATAGCGTAAACCTATGGTTGTAGAGTATATGAAGTTATTAAAAATTTGATTTTGAAAAACAATGTTGGGTTTCTTATTCCCTATATCAATGTTTAGTTGAATACATATGTAACATGGTCTAAAAATGTCAGTTTATTAGAGCATTTGAGGGTGATACATCTAGGCGTACCAGAATTAATGGTATTTGTACTATTATAAAATGTTTTTCATAATCTACTGTTTATTATTATTATTTTTTTGTACTTCTGTCTTCCTGTGTTTTCAGATTGAATTGTTGTGGAGTGTTTTGTATGAATTTGATAAATTATTATATTTCTTTGTAGAGAAACCTCTTCGATACATTAGAATAAATACCTTATTGGTTACTATAAATGGTACCATTCAACGCCTGATAGATGATGGATGGCAGTTGCAAGATACACCAGAGAATTACGAATTATTTATTAAATGTGCTTCTAACTTGGGTGAAAATCAGATTATGAAAGATTACCATTTAGATGATGTTTTGATATTTCCTCCAAAGAGTGACATGCATGAACACAAGTTGGTGGAAAATGGATCACTACTACTTCAAGATAAGGTTTGCATAATTTTGTTGAGTATATATATATATATGTATATATATGTATATCTTTGACGAGTGAGTGAGAGGAGGAGAGGAGTGAGATTGTGATGAGTGAGAGAGGAGAGAGTGAGTTGAGTAGAGAGAGGATTGAGAGAGCAGAGGGATGAGAGAGAGAGGGAGGAGAAGAGGGACGTGAGACAAGAGAGGCGAGGCGAGCGAGGAGAGAGAGAGGGCGAGGCGAAGGGAGGAGGAGGGAGACGAGGGAGGATGCGAGCAGAGGAGAGAGAGAGGGAGGAGAGAGAGGAGCGAGGCAGTAGAGAGAGGGAGCGAGGGAGAGAGCTAAGCGAGCGAGAGAGGAGCGAGCGAGGGAGGAGAGCGAGCGAGCGAGGAGAGAGCGAGCGAGCGAGAGAGGAGAGAGCAGCGAGAGAGGAGAGAGCGAGCGAGCGAGAGAGAGGAGAGCGACGAGAGGGGAGAGACGAGCGAAGAGAGAGAGAGCGAGCGAGCGAGAGAGGGAGAGAGCGAGCGAGCGGGCGAGAGGGAGAGAGCGAGCGAGGAGATGAGGGAGAGAGCGAGGAGCGAGAGAGGGAGAGAGGTTCGAGCGACGCGAGCGAGCGAGCGAAAGAGCGAGGCGAGGAGAGAGAGCGAGAGAGGGAGAGAGCGAGCTTAGAGAGGAGAGAGCGAGCGAGTGGAGAGGGAGAGACGAGGCGAGAGAGGAGAGAGCGAGCGAAGAGGAGAGAGCGAGCAGGAGAGGGAGAGAGGAGCGAGAGAGGGAAGAGAGCGAGCGGAGAGGAGAGGGAGAGAGGGATGGAGCGAGAGAGGGAGAGAATCGAGCGAGAGAGGAGGAGCGAGCGAGAGAGCGAGGAGGAGCGAGCGAGAGAGGGAGGGAGCTGCAGCGAGAGAGGAGAGAGCTGAGCGAGGGGGAGCGAGGAGAGCGAGCGAGAGAGGGAGGAAGGGAGCAAGCGAGAGAGGAGGAAGACGAGCGAGAGAGGAGGAGAGCAGCGAGCGAGAGAGGGAGGGAGAGAGTTAGGGAGAGAGGAGGAAGAGGAGGAGAGAGGGAGGAAGAGCGAAGCACTGAGAGAGGGAGGGAGAAGAGCGAGCGAGAGAGGGAGAGAGACGAGCGAGAGAGGAGGGGAGAGAGCGAGCGAGAGAGGAGGAGAGACCGAGCGAGCAGAGGGAGGAGAGACCGAGCGAGAGAGGGGAGAGAGCGAGCGAGAGAGGAGGAGAGAGCGGTGTTGAGCGAGAGAGGGAGGAACTGAGAGCGAACGAGAAGGGAGGAGAGACAGCGAGAGGAAGGCTGCCAAGAGAGACAGAGGCTGAACAGGACACACAGGATAGGGAGAGAGCGAGCGGTGGCGAGGAGAGGGAGGAGAGCGGAGGAGGGAGGGAGAGAGGCGAAGCGACGAGAGGGAGGCAAGAGCGGCGAGCGAAGAGAGGAGGGAAGAGCGAGCGAGAGAGGAGGGAGAGAGCGAGCGAGAGAGGGAGGGAGAGACGAGCGAGAGAGGGAGGGAGAGAGCGAGCGAAGAGAGGGCAGGAGAGGCGAGCGAGAGAGAGGCAGAGGAGCGAGCGAGAGAGGAGGAGAGAGCGAGCGAGAGAGGGAGGAGAGGCGACGAGAGAGGGAGGGAGAGAGCGAGCGAGAGAGGAGGGAGAGAGCGAGCAGAGAGGGAGGAAGAGACAGCTGCAGACGCAGGGAGGAGAGAGCGAGCGAGAACGGGAGGGAGAAGCGAGCGAGAGAGGGAGGAGAGAGGCGACGAGAGAGGGAGGAGAAGAGCGAGCGAGAGAGGAGGGAGGAGAGCGAGCGAGAGAGGGAGGGAGAGAGCGAGCGAGAAGAGGGAGAGAGAGCCGCAGCGAGAGAGGAGGGAGAGAGCGAGCGATAGAGGGGGAGAGACGAGCGAGGAGGGAGGGAGAGAGCGAGCGAGGAGGAGGGAAGAGCGAGCGAATAGAGAGGAGAGAGAGAGCGAGCTGAGAGAGGGAGGAGCGAGCGAAGAGAGGGAGTGAGCGAGCGAAGAGAGAGAGAGATGCGAAGCGAGAGAGTGATGAGAGAGAGCGAGCGAGTATAGTGGGGTTATGGGAGTGTTTGGGATGGAGAGGGTGTTAGGGAGAGAGGGATATATATTCTTTGTAGAGAAAC